TTTTTTTTTTTTTCGGTACAAAGAAGGAAGCCGAGGCCCAAACTATTAGACTAGACTAGAACTCGTCGCGGGTGGCAGACCCCAATAATGTCGTACTCCAGCCACGAACTCATCCCATCGGGGGAAGATCACAACGATGTATGCCCAACGAGGAAGATGACGCCAAGGATGCCATATGATCAACCGCAAAGTTGGCTTCCCTATGCACATGTTGGATTCGAATACTCCACTCTATCTGAACCAGGCTTCGAATAGCTCGAACAAGGGTGTCATGAGCACCAAAGTTCTCTCCGGACCCCAGTATCATCTTCACAACACATTGGCTATCGACCTCTGCAATAACCTGTCGGAATCCCAAGTCCCACACCAGCATTAGCCCTTGAAAAAGCCCCCAAAGTTCGGCGCCCGTTATGGTACTGCAACCAATATTCATAGTGAACCTTGCTATCCAACCTCCCAGTTCGTTTCTAACCAAACCGCCCGCACTACTAAACCCGTGTTGTTGTTAAAAGCACCATCAGTAGAGCTATTGTTGTTAACAAAGTGTGTGGTTTAAGAAATGATAAAAAGGTATTTCATATTGTTAATGTTTGATAAACACTTGTTCAAAAGTATTTATATATAAATATAACTAATGCAACACTGTGTATTAGACGCGCGCTTGTTAAAAAATTATTCTTAAATTTGGAAATTAATGAGAAAATAATTGCTTGTTAAAAAGAAAACTATTCTTAAATTTGGAAACTAATGAGAAAAATTATTATAAATTTTATTTACTTTTTATAAAAAAATATATATTATTATATATTTGAGAATGACACTTGTTATTTGTGCGACACGTGTTATATTATAGTAATTTTTGTAACTTATATCATATAACTACTTGAAATATAAATATATTAATTGATAAATAATTTTATTTTTCTAATTAATACTAAAAATAATTTTAATATTTTTATAAAGATAAATATAATCTAGTTTCCTTTTATACATACAATGGGGATGGTAAATCAAAACTCATCAAGAGATGATAATTTGATATATTATATACGTAAAATTGATAAAAAAATACAAAAGTTATTAAATTTTAAAATACATTTACAATTCAATAGTTATAATAAGAAATGATATTGAAATTCAATTAATACATTTAATATTGTCATAAATAATCAACATATTTATGGATAATCTGGACCTAATTATTTTTGGATTTCAAGTAAATAAAAATCTTTTCAAGCCTAATAAAGAAGAATGTAATTTTGCCATATAGGATCCCAAAACATGCGAGTCTGCCACTTAGGCTCAACGTGTTCTGAATTAATATATAATGGAGATGGAGATTTACCCCAATGAAAATGGAATACTTGGATCGTTCATACTTTGTGTAAGTTCTTCGTTCCACTTGGGATTCACATTTTTTTTCACCACGCGAGTCTTTAATTTGATGACCCACCACCAGAAAAGTCCACCGGCTGCCAGCGCCCGCTAGTGGTGGCTGGTTGGCATGGCCCACCTGCTGGTTTGCAAGCTTACTCCGGTCATGCCAAAAGTATTCTAATCAAGCAAACTGCAAGGGTAGTTCTTGCAAGCATCCCTACCCTTGCAATCCAAGTACAGTACCTAACATCCCCCACCTGACTCGTAAGAATGAGGGGAAAAGGAAGAAGCGGAAGCACTTCATCAATAATTCATTTCCTGGTTTTCTTCATCAGGTGAGTGGAACAAGATTGCCGAGCAAGTCATACTCAAAAATAAATAAAAAAAGTACATGTTAACAGTCTCCATATCGTGTAATGCAACACAAACATTTGAGTAACAGTCTAATACTGCTCAGTCTAAGCCAAACTTGAACATGTTGAAACCTAAAAAGAATAGATAAATAGCAGTTCTGGAGCCATTCTAGCAAATATCTTTAATGTCAAAATGGAGACTTGGCCCCACACCCAAAAAAAAAAAAAAAAGAAAAAAGAATGCTAGTCTCATACAGTTACCACATCAATCCCACCAGACTTCAGAATTTTGAGTTCATTCAGCAATAAAAACACAGACGAGCTTATCCGCAGGAAGCTCAAGGGATTATTAGCTTACTGGTTGCTGGTGGTTGTTGATGTTGCCGTTTGAAGATGCGCCATAGGCTGCACCAGCATATCCGTATCCATTGTAATTTTGCCGCCCATACTGAGCCCCGTTCCACTGATATTATGGTTTACAAACAATACAGAATATATAAGAAAATATAATTAGACTTTTTTTTTTTTGAAAATGGAGGGGGACGTAGATTGTATAGAGGTCACTAATTCTTTCCAACTTTGGGGGACTATCATCAAAACTGAAAATGAAAAATTCGGTTCATCTTATGAATACCGTTCCAAAGGTTTCAAACTCTTCGCAAAGAACCCTCGGGGGAAATAGTTTGTGAGATATTAATAGCATTGGAAAAATATTAATGATATTGGTAATACTTTGTAATTTGGCTACATACATGCAATGATAAATTTTGCAATTATTCATATCTAAGATATTATAGTATTGCACAAACCAGAATGAAATTGACGTAGAATACTTCCCAAACAGAAGCCATTTAAGGGGAAAAAAAAGGTATACCGGCTTGTTGCCAAGGCTTCGACCCCAAGAAAGGCGAACAGTCTGTTTGCCAATAACTGATCCATTTAATCTCTGAATTGCTTCCTCTGCACTGCTTCTGTTATAGACCAAAAATCGAAGTACCATCTACGGTTACTCGAACTTGGACATTAAAATACTGATGAAAAGTTTAAATATATCGCAGCAGAATCCTACATCACATAGCAATGCTTATATTAAATGCTCATTTGTCCTTGACACTCTGCATATAAATTGTATTCACCTATACTTGCTAATATATTGGCAGACATATGAGCACTACTCTGAAGGACCGCAAATTTTATTTTACATTGGCTGAAGACTGAAGCACTTTTCTCCTCTTTAAATAACTCGCATTTTTCATGAGGGAGAATCAGAAGGCACTGCATAGAAGTCCACCTCACACACGAAAATGTATACAAGAATTTCTTACATATACAACAGAAAATTGAAAATGATTACTATCATTGTCGTTATTGCTATTAAAATTATCATGAAGGGGACAGCTAAGACTGTAATAAAGAAATGCTGCAGAACAAAACCACAATACTACCTGTTTGCAAATTGTACAAAACCACATCCCTTTCCAGCTGGTATCTTAACAGATATGACTTCACCAAATGCAATAAAAGACCCTCTGAGTTCTTCATCAGAGACATCAGAGTCAAGTCCGCCCACAAATATCTAATCAAAACAAGGTAATTCATATCAGTCATGAGATAAGTATTTGATAACTTACTTCCAAATGGAACAGGACTCACCGTCGTGTTAGATAAATCACTCTCTGGCTGACCTAGGTACACGGCAACATTAGATTAGATGCATATCCACCGGCCACAATCACCATTAAAGATTTATGTCAGAATTGTTGAATAATTTCTTGAATAATTTCCATACTAAAAGAAAACCATCACTGACAGAAAAATTAAACACATTTCCATAGATGCACCCTTATTGATTTTAATCAGCACACACACAAAAACACACACACGCAAACACACACACATAGAGACAGAGATAGACAGAGAGTGAGGCAGAAAAGAAATTAATAATAGAAAAAATGATGCTGCAACAATTTTGGGAATGACGATCAAACTGAGAAATCGTGGACAAGGCTGGAATCAATACATTGGAATTAATTGATTATATAATTAATTTGATCTCTTGAAATCAAAAAACTATAGTTCTAAAGCTAGATCACCTTGAACGATTTGATTGTTAGACCAAGAACTAGTTCCAGCAATCAAACAATGATTAGAAGTAGTATATTTGTTGAAAAGATCCTGCCATCTTTTTTAAATAAAAAATATTCTTACAATTTAAAGGTGATAAAAAGGTTCTTTTGCAAAAGTCATTATTTCACACAATGTCATTAATTTCATCAAGTAATTTACTCAACTTCTAGTGCCTATAATTTTTTATCTTATGATTCTACATTCATTAATGCTTAAGATATACTTCAAAATACAAAGTACCACATTCGTATTTAAACCTATATCTCCACCGGTTAGTGGCCAATCTAATTCTCCGAACCTTGATAAGAACTCACAGATACAGACATGCTACTAGCCAGAACATAGAAGTTATCTTTCACACCAACAAACTAACAATCTTTTCACCAACAGAACAACAGCAGTAATCCCACACTCATATATATTCATGTCCAAAAATCCAACAAGAGAAAAAAAGTCAAAACGCCAATCAAGCCAAAAGCAACAACTACCAAAAAACAACGGGTTGATATATTGTACCTTGATAACCATACTGCTGCTGTTGTAGCAAGGGTTTCTTTGGAGTGGCAACACTAATCCTCATAGGCCTACTCGAACAAAGCACGCCGTTCATTTCAGTCAGTGCCCTCATCTTCTCGTTATCGTCACCAAACCTGACAAACCCATAGCCTTTCGAGCGACCCGTGCCCGAATCAACCACCACCTTCGCACCCCTCACAGATGGATACTTACTGGCAAAGGTATCTAGCAAGAGCGCATCCGTGACTTCGGCAGCTAAATCCCCAACGAAAATGGATGAATCGGAACCGGCCTCAGGACGCCTGTCGCCACCACCGCCACTGAAAGCTGCCCAGTTGAGGCGGAAAGGTTGGTCGGCATTAGGCATTGTGGTGCCATTGTAGCCTTGAAGGGCCGTCTCTGCCGCCGTGTGAGAGCTGAACTCGATAAATCCGTACCTCTCGGACTGGCCGGTGTGCCTGTTGCGTATTATCTTAACAGAGACAACCTGCATGTTTGAATGTTTTGATTTTGTTAATAGAGACACGGATGATGGGCAAGAGATTCTAAAAGTTGTATTGGGAATAAAAGTTTGAAGAAAGAAGAAAACACAAATGCTTATGCAAGCCCACCTAACCAGTTCAAGTTGGCTACGTCCGATTATATCTTTTGACCCAAAAAAAAAAAAAGAACCATATTTCTAACATAGAGAAAGACACATACCGTCCAAAACAATGCAAACAACTGTTTTGCATTGTTTTTAGGCTTTCTACACTGGATTACATATATTTGTATACAACTATTAATTAAGCAACATTTTATGTCTACTGTAAAAAACCTATCAATGCAAATAGTCTGTTTTGGACAAAATGTGTGCTTTTACAGAAAAGCTTCATACTTTTCAAAACAATGTGAATAGTTGTTTTACTTCTATAGAAAAGAAGTATGAAGTCGATAGTGAAATTATGCATATGTATATTAAACAAAAAGTACATCCACTTCTAGAAACAAAATATTCTACTCCGGGGTTTTAGCGACAACATTTGTCGTTAAAAGAAAAGCTTTGGTAACAACATATTGTCACCAAAAAAAAAACAAAAAAAAAAAAAATCTACAACAATATTGTTTAGAAAACAAATATTAGCAACCAAAATCATGGAAAATAAAGTTCTTTTTTTCAATGTTTTACTGACTCACATTACAAAAGAAGTTATCTACAACAATATTTGGTACATTTTATTTTGTTCCAGCAATGTAATCTTTAAAACTTAGGAACTTATTAACAAAGAATGAGTAGCTCGTAAATAAAAGCTTGATGAGATTCATTTATGTAAATTTTTCTGTCTATAAGCTTTGTTTATTTGTTATCCATATGATAAAGCAATGAAATAAAAGTTTTACGCTTGTAGATCTGAACCGCCAACCGTAGAGAAAAATCGAAAATAAAATGGTAGATGCGAGATCCAAAATTTCACACTCGTCGTGTAAAAAAAGAATAAAAAGAATTAACCACGAATATCAATCAATCTCTACAATAAACGAATACAGAATTCAACAAATAGCAATGCGTGATAGCTCATTACACAGCATTTCAAATACACAAATCTGCATTCATCGAAATACACAGAAACAATACTTCACATTCCGAATACTAATGCAAGCAATTGAATCATCAAAGAACAATACTTTTTACATTCCTAATGAATATAAAAAAAAAATAAAAAATTAAGAAGCAAGCAGAGAAGTTAATACATACCTCTCCAGTTTGAGAAAAACAAGAGTTGAGATAAGCTTCATCCATCCATGGCAGGAGATCTCCGATCCAGATGGTCTTGTTCTCCTCCCCCGAGCTCTGAATCTGCCTGGGCTGAGGGAATTGATGCTGGTGGTGGGGGTAGTACGGCACGTAATGCTGGTTGTACATCATGTTCTGGTGCATCACCACCGCCGGGTACTGCATCGCCATCCATTGGTGCTGATACTGCTGCATCGCCGCCCATTGCTGCTGCTGCTGCAACTGTTGCTGCTGCTGCTGTTGCTGGTTCAAATCTCCGCCGTTCATTGTCCAATCTCTTTCTCTCTCTTCCGAAGCTTTGGAGCTCTCGCGAGAGTCAGAGTCACCTGGTCCGACAAACCAGGCTAGAAAGAGAAAGGGGGAATTTTGGTGGTGATGAGAGGAAATAGAAAAGCAGGGATCTGTGTAACCCACCCAAGGTTGGTTGTACAAACAAACGTGTGGCGATTGTACTCTGACGATGTCCAATCGAGACCGTTGATGCTGGGGGTTCGGCCCTTGGCCGTTCGTTAGGGTCGTGGGCCCCAGTTCCCATATTTAGATCTGACCATGATTTTTTTTAGTTATAAGACCTTGTGATGAATAGCTTGCTGATTTCGGATGGCGGCGGGCTGTGCCGGTCTGTAGGTGGGTGCATACTTTTGGCTAATTGGAGAAAAACTTATTTATGTAAAATTATTTTTCCTTTCCATTGAGGAAATAATAATTTCATCTATATTTATATTATCTTTCAGATATTCTTTCTAGAAATAAAACGAAATTGATGAATGGATATAGCTTTTTAGATTTTCGTCCATGTCGCAACAATTGTGGTAATAATTTTTATTTTTTTTGGTACAGGACCTTCTGGTTTCCGGATCCACATGGGAACCGACTAATTCGGAATAGAGCCGGGTAGGACCACAAGGGCGGCAAATCTCTCCCTCAAGACAAGAGTTTTTAACACTGCTGCATTCTCAGGGCTCGAACACGAGGCCACTGGTTAAGCTGGAAGAGACCAAGCCATCTCATCCAAGCGCTCTTGGGTAATAATTTTTTTTTTCTTTTCATATATAAAGGTTTTAAGTTACTTTTATTTCATTTTTTAGCGTGCAAAAGATAATGTTTAACAAAAATATTACAATGATATAAATATAGAAGAAAAGAAAAATTGATATCTGTAAATGTTATTATGCACATTCTTCTGTCTATGTGGGTTAACCAGTTAATGTCGATTTGAAGCACAGTGAACACAAATTAATTGTGGGACTTTGTAAAACCCTAAATACGAGAAATACATCAACATTGGAACGTCTCAAATTTTCAATAGAGTCAATCCCCATCCTGATCTCAAATCCAATATGAATATCCCTCCTAACCAACGTCATCATATCAAATACAAAGTCGATATTTTTTACATTTGGATCTGTCATAGAAACGTGGATTCCTTCACACAAATTTCGTTACTCAGTGCGAAAAGGATTGCTGCACACACCAACCAAATAATTAGCCACTTGCGCAACTGACCTTGCCACGTGTTGTCTTGTATGTGGCAGACATCATAAAAGCCCGCCACGTCTCCTGAGAGTCATTATCATTTTTCGTGGTTCACCTTCCATAAATAGTCATGCCTTATATTCATGAATATCATCGAAAAATCAATTGAAAAGGTCTAATAACAACTAATAGCAATAAAAGTAGAACGTGCAAGCGGATTAACGCAAGCATTTAATTCTTTCTTTGTTGTATTGCTCTTAAATTTCGCCTAAAACTACTTTGTCATAGTCTTGTTGATGTCAACCATCAACAAATTGGAGTTAGAAGGAGTACTTGAATCTCAAATTGTCGTTACTTCCATCAATATGATTACTATAATTTATTTATTCCTTACCACTATACTCTAATATAATCCACTATGTCGTCATCAAATTACTCCAACGACAACAATAACACGGACAACCATCAAGCAAATAATCCCTTTGCATCCGTCAACAAAAACCAAATCCTCGAAAACCCCAATTTTATAATAGGGTTAACTGCCTTTTTTCTCATATTCTCCAATACTTCTCTCTCGAAAAATCCACTCGCCATCCCAAAACCGCACACAAAACAGCGACTTCCCAACCATATGCCTCTCAGGAAGACATGTTCAAATTCTGGGTCGAGCGGGTCGATGGGTTCAAAATCACCGACCTGAACTGGAACGTACTCGGTGGACCGGGTCCGACCCTAAACTGGCACGTACTCGGTAGACCGGGTCCAACCCAGCTCGGCCCGTCGGATCATATGTTATACACATATGATCCTGAACTGTCCCGTTTTGAATCCAGGCATGAACACAGACTCATGGTCAATGGATGTGACCAGACCAGGTTCGTGCCGGTTTCAGACCAGATGACATGTGGCCATGTCTACTCCCATAAGGTAAACTCGCGTTGTGCTAGAGTACCCACGAGAAGAAAAAAAACCACCAACGAGAACTCCAATGAAACCATTAGAGAAAGCCATAGGAGTTCGAATGGCACGTTTAACTCAACTAGTACGTGATGTCCAAACGCCTTGGAAAAATATTAAAGAATATCGCTCTCCGCCACCACCTCAACAGATTTAAAACACTGCCAACAAAGAGGAGGCAGAGATCACAGTCCTCTGACAAAGGACTGATTAGAGACTAGAAAACACTATAAACCCCAACAATCATTAACCCATCTTCTTTCTCACCCATCATCCAGTCTGACAACCCCTTCTGATCTAAATCTTCCATCTTTTTTCGTACCCTTGTGGAGGTGTTGCCCACCAAAACTAAAGTGCCTCTATGCAATGGAGATTTCAACCTTGACGCACATTTGGGACAGTACGTATTATGGATGGACCTCCATGGGGCTAGCAATGCCTTACGTTGTCATACTTGTTCGCTCACCTATCAAAAGCCCAAAGGTGGTATCACTCGCTAGTCCATGAGTTTATCGATGGATGGGATCAACATTGGCATTTTGAATGCACTTTATTGGCTCTCAGATATTATTGATTCCTTGAGAATCGATCACCAATATCGTGCAAGGGGCTGATGAAAGCCTAAAAGATTAATTGGCCCATATCAACACTCGGGTCCAAAACATGAAGTTTTGCCATCCAGAGACCCTACTGGTGGCGGCATATGCCAAACTCTGCCCCAATTGCAGTACCCTGCCTAGACTTAGTAAAATCAGAGTAAATTTTGCGCGCTATAAATGGAAAGCACTGATTTAATTTTCGAAAACTCGTATTAATTTTTTCGAAAATACTTTAACTTTAAAACGCGGAGTGCTATTCAACTTTAATCTTATATCTTTATCTCTTTAATCTAACATGCATGCGACCAAGTAAATTCATTCTAGAATTAGGGTCATGAATAATACCGGGTAAAACATGCATATTCTGAAAATCTGACATAATCTGACATCTGAAATAATAGTCTGAAATCTGACATCTGAAACACAAGTCTAACATGCGAAAGCAAGTACAAGTTCATAAAAGCACACAAGCATAAAACAAACATAGATAATTCAAACATGTTCAAACACTATATGACATGTTTTCTCAAAAATGTCCTAAATCTGGACCAGCACCACATATCTGCTCACACGTCACGCGAGACACCATCACTTGAAAAATAGGGTAGTAGGGAGGCGTGAGCACAAAGGAATCAACGGTGCTCCGTCGGAACCGACACTAAATACTCATCACAATTAATAACAAACTATGAAATCAACATATATATGATTAAACTGGTTTGGCTATGGGACTAACGGTAAACTGGTACTCATGTGCACACTCTGGGGGTCCCCTCTCACAGAAATCCAGGCTGGGCATCGCCCACTCATCTGGACGCTGGACTTAGGCTAGGCCTCGCCCACTCATCTAAGTCATAATTGACATCTGACATCTTGACCAAGACGGGATCACTCATCCGTCTCGGTCCTTCAATTTAATCACATATAGACCTCAGACATGGTAAATTATTAAAAGCGATGAAATACACAGTACATGGTCCCCACCTGAAAACTGGCGAATGCAAATGCTGGAATATCTGAAATATACTGTGTAGCAGGCGGAGGCTCGACTCTCCTCAAGCTACAAAATTATGAGCGAAATATTCTAAGTACTGGGCTCAGAATAAAACTCAAATCTTTAATATCTATTGTCTAGGTTCGCTCACTCTGCTTTAAAAATCATTTTAGGGATTTACAAGCTGATCTTGGAAATATTATTGTCTGTGAGGCATTCTAGAGTTCTCTGAAATATTTCTAAGTCTGGAACTATAATCTAACTTAAATCTAATCTGACTGAAATCTAAACTATATATGGATCTTAAATCCATCTGGAATCTTAACTTTATCTAGAATCTTAACTATATCTGAAATCTTAACTATATCTGGAATCTTAAATATATCTGAAATCTTAATCTGACCGAGTCTGAAATTTATCTGAAATTCCATTAGAAATATATCTCGAACCGTCCGGATTGACCGGACTGGTTCAACTGAATTTGACCGACAGCTCACTCGGAGCTGGTCGGTCATTCGCTTGACTATGTGCATCTCGGTTTGACCGTGGTCCGAGTTTGGCGTGGCAACTAGGGCCGGCACAAACTCGACTGACACGGCTTAGCCGATGCACGAGTTTGAAACGGTGCCACGGTCACTGACGTAGGGGCGTGCATGGACTACGGCTAACGGAATGGCGCGTAGACGGTAGGTCGGATGGACTCGGTGCACGGGCACGTACTCGGGGGTTTAACTCCGACTCGGTGCACGGGCACGCACTCGGCGGTTCGGGTCCAACGGTCAGACGAGAGGTGATCACGGGCACGAGACGACGATATGCATTACGAATTACGATACGATGGCTAATAATTATCCAGACGGTACTAGGATTCAGTCATTTAAAATCGGATCCAGAAATATACCCGGTTATCGGAACCGCATAAAACTAGGATTCGATTCTCGAAGAATCCTAACTCATTTAAGGCCGATAATTAATGTATATATTCTATGTGATTATATGGATTTTATAAATTAACAACTGTAGCTAAAATCATATCCGACTAATTTTCTAAAATATCGCATTCCTCGGCTAAAGTCTCGATCTTATAACTAAGTCCAACGGTGTCCAAAATTTATGAAATTTGAATCGAAGCATCCTCAATATACTAATAGTCAACGGTCAACATAATAAGTCAGACGATAACTCCTAACCTAGTCAACTAAAAATCGCTACGACCAGTCAACGCATTTGACCGGCTCGTTTACCTATCAAGCAAAGTTCGAAAAATCTCAAATTTATACCTAGGCCTCAAAACGAAGCAACAAATTTAATGGTATTTATTTCGGTATTTTATCACATATATTTCAAAGGTCCAAAAAAAATAGCTTTAAGCTCCTATGTCCCGTTTTTTCCAAAATCACTCAAATCACATATTATTTTTCTCTTATCTCGTTTATCTCATTAAGTCTAAACCAAATTAAGCGAGTTTTTGTTATTATACCTTAAAATGCTCGAAACGAGCAGATTAGG